CACACCAAACAAACATTATAACAGTCAGGACTGAGGACAGAACCCAGCGAGACAGCCCAGAGCCCTCCTCGGCTTGCTCACGGATATCTCTGGGGACAACTACTGAACTTTATATCCACCCCTGTAGCATCACATGGCCCATGTGTCCTGGGCCCAGAGACACAGGAAGTGCAGCCAAAGGCCTCACAGAAACCCCGTAATCCAGTGCAAGCCCCGGGGGAGGAGAGGAGGACACTGGCCTAGGAGTGCCTGGGGAGTGCCTGCTGGCCCCCATGCAGGGCCTCATTTTTCTCAGTTTTCCGCTTCAGATACCGGTGATCTGCTTAGAACCCGCTGAGCATGGATGAAGCTCTGTCAGGCTGTGTGTGCTAGAACCCACCTTCTCCTGCCTTAGGAAAAGCAACACCAGACTCTTCTCTAGCATTCTAGATCATCTCTGCTTCCCATGAGCCCCAAAACTCACCCAGAGTGGTTCATGGGAGGGCAGTTTGCTCCAGCTAAATGGCTTGGTAGAAAGACGTCCCCACACCTGGTCTTGTTTGATACTCAAGAAAAACCTATGGGGATGGGTGTTAACCTCCTTTACCAACAGGTAAACTGAGGATCACCTACAGAAGTTATGTGACTTTCCCTAGGTCAGTGGTCGGCAAACTCATTAGTCAACAGAGCCAAATATCAACAGTACAACGATTGGAATTTCTTTTGAGAGCCAAATTTTTTAAACTTAAAACTATATAGGGCCGAAACCGGTTTGGCTCAGTGGATAGAGCGTCGGCCTGCGGACTCAAGGGTCCCAGGTTCGATTCCGGTCAAGGGCATGTACCTGGGTTGCGGGCACATCCCCAGTAGGAGATGTGCAGGAGGCAGCTGATCTATGTTTCTCTCTCATCGATGTTTCTAACTCTCTATCTCTCTCCCTTCCTCTCTGTAAAAAATCAATAAAATATATTTTTTAAAAAAAACTATATAGGTAGGTACATTGTTATTAACTTAATTAGGGTACTCCTAAGGCTTAGGAAGAGCCACACTCAAGGGGCCAAAGAGCCGCATGTGGTTCGCGAGCTGCAGTTTGCTGACCACGGCCCTAGGTCATTCAACTAGAAAGTTCAAAGGTCAGACCCAATGCTCTTTGCGTGAGACACAGTGCCAAATGTCTCCCCTCCGCATCAGAGGGCGTGGCCAGGAGAGACATTCACCTCCTTATGCCACCCCACCTCTCCAGGGGACCTCCCTAAGGATCCCAGGGACCCCAAGTATTCAGCATCTCTCTCCCCAGAGGGAGGAAGTGAAAGAGGAGGGAGAGACCCAGTCAGCTCTCCTGGACACAACTCTTGGGGAGCCCCCAGCCCAAACCAACCAGCAGGATCTGTGAGGTGATGTGAGGAAGGAGAGGCCTCCGCCTCCCATCTACACCAGCCCTCAGTCGCTCCCCCCACTCCACACCCGTGGGCCCCCCCCAGTCCCTATGCCACATATTGGTAGTGAATTCCAATCCCAGCCTGCCTGGGGCTGGGAGGGAACGGGTAGGCATGGCCTCCAGGTCTTTGGTTTGCTGTAACTTAGGAAACCCTCTTCATTTTCTGTGCTCCCCCGACTCTCTACAGACACCTTGGGAGCTAAGAGGGGCAATAACCTTACGTCCACTTCCATCACCAGACTATGAGCACCCATCACTGGTTGTTGTTGTTGTTTTTAAATATGTTTTTATTGATTTCAGAGAGGAAGGGAGATGGAGAGAGAGAAACATCAGTGATGAGAGAGAAACATTGATCAACTGCCTCCTGCACGCCCCACACTGGGGATTAAGCCCGCAACCCGGGCATGTGCCCTGACCAAGAATTGAACTATGACCCTCTGGTTCATAGGTCGACGCTCAACCATTGAGCCAAGCTGGCCTGGCTTAATATACTTTTTTTGTTATTGATAGTATTACAGATGAGCACCCATCACTGTTGCTCTCGCATCACCCAGCTCCTCCAGGCTGGGACTGAATGCTGACACATAGTAGGTGCTGATTAACACTTGTAGAACTAAGTTGGATTTATGTGAGCAGAAATTCCTTCCCTAAGATCCCCCCGGTTTCATTATCCCTGCCTCTCCTCCTTGGCCCTGCTTCCCCTTCACTCTGCATATCCCAAGTCCTACAGTCTCCCCTACCCAGGAGGAGGACCCCTCCTCCTCAGGAGGGCTTCCCAACTACTCCCACCCTCGGTGAGCTCTCTGCTTCCTGAAATGCAGAACCATCAGAGGGATGTTTGAAGGATTAAATCAGACAATGTAAGTAAAATTGTCAGAGCATGCTTTGGCACATCACAAAGGCTCAATAAATCTGGGCTGGTTGTGATCAAGGGAAGAACCGCTGCTTCTTTCTGCTTCCTCTTCTTGGCCAGGCCTGTAGGCCACCAGGGGGCGCCCTCTGCCCAAAAGTCCCCGCCACCTAGGCCAGGACGTGGCGTCCTTCCCTGAGACTGGGGGTGGGGGGGGGGGGCGGGAGCGGGGGAAGGCCTCGGACTAAGCGGGGGTGGGTACGTGAACCTCGGGTTTTGTGGAGGAGCAGTAGGGAAGCATGGAGATGGGGAAAGTACCCTTTTCACCTGAACTTTTCATTCTCGGATGGACACACAGGGCGATAAGGGGGTGTGTAAATTGGGAGGCCTCCAAAAAAAAAGCATCTGTTCCTTTTTTCCCAGGGAGGGGGCTCTCTTACCCTCTCTTTGCAATTCTGCCTTCTTTTTAGGATTTTGGGGGGGGGGGGGGGGCATTGCAATTAACAAAAAAAAAAACCCCAAAAAAAAAAAACCCCGGGCTTTTCCACATGGGTCCCATTTTATGGACGAAGAAACGGAGTCTTAGAGGAGCTCAGGAAGTGATACCTTTCCCGGGTGTGCTGAGTAACTGAGACTGGAATCCCGGCCCGAATGCCCTGGCACCCCCTGGACGGCTAGTTCTGTGCATAATCGACTTTCATCAGGGTTATGACCCTTCCTCACGGCCTCCTCCCTCAGAAAGCCACACCCTGGGATCAGGTTCTCCAGGCATGGCTTTTCCTTTAAAAAAAAAGTTCCACTTTGCATCTGGCACAGCAGGCCGCAGGGACGGACAGGGGATGCCGCGGCTCCTCCACGCTGAAGGGGTTAAGGCCCAGGCCCCGCCCCCGCCCCCGCCCCGGCCGGACCGGCGGGAGTATGAATAGCCTCGCTCCCACTCCCGACTCCCAGTCGCTCCAGCCGCTCCTCGCCCCGTCCTGTCATTGTCCCCGTCGGCCTCCTTCTCCCCTTTCATCCTAAAAGCTGTGCGAGCCGCTGGCTTCTCTCGGGGTCCAGCGTCTCTCTCTCTAGGGCGGGGCGAACGTGGAGGATAGACGGCTGCCTGGAGGGGGAATCATTTCAGACGAGAGGGTATGCTCGACATCGGCTCTCACTTCTGCCTCTTGATCACGGACTCTGGGGAACATTGTGAGCAGTCTCACCCTCCATCTCTTCCGACACCAGCATCTGCCCCTCGGAGCTCAC